CCCCCCCACATTATACTACATAAGTACTTACTCTGATGACAGTATGAGCCCATGTAGCCTGGCACGCATGCGCAGGAGAAGGCGCCGCTCGGTTGGCTGATACAGACGCCATGTTTGCCGCACACACCGGAAGAGATCAGGCGGAAGCCGCCAGTTGACACATTGGAGGGAATCGATACCGTGCAACTGTCAATGACTGAAGGACAGACACATTTGTATGATTATGTGTAGAAAATGGTAATGTATTACAGGTGCGAATGGGAAAGCTATTAGATCAATCCAGTGTTGTCAAAACGGAGTGAATTGATCCACCCACTGGCCAAAAATGTTCATGGACAGAAAGATGGATGAGTGTTGTAATTATTATGCATAGGGACTGGGTCAATTACACGGGTTATGGTTGTGTGGGTTTTTTTAGTGGGTCGTTATACGGGCAATTTAACACAAAACTTTTTTATTCAACCAAAAACGTCAAATGTGTAGCTTACCTTCACAAGAAGTTGTTCCGCAATGATGCCTGGGATGTGAGCAATCTTTTCCTTCCCAGCCCTGTTGACAGTGGCAGTAGAAATCTCCCTGGATGTTGAAGCAAGTGGAGTCGTGTTTGCAGGGGTTGGGACTGCAAGGATCGGCATCCGTCTGAGCAGATGGAGAGACACAGTTCACATTCTGGTTGATCTCGTGTTATGGTATGGCAAAGGTGCTATCTGGTTAGTACAAAAAGCCGTGTCCGATAACAGTAAGTTGACAGTATACGTACCACTAGTAATATTTGTATCCTCTCTTCCTCTCCTCAGGGCCAAGAGGTCGGGTAGCCAACCACCAATCTAGTCCTTTATTGCAACGACCATCATTATGGGTTTTTTTTTCAATCGTCACCGACAACTTTCTAAATGTGGACGAAGTGTGTGGAAGTATATTGGTTTGCCTATGCTAAAGACCTTTAAATGGGCTATACCCTGGACTTCTGAGTAATTTCATGGATTTTTTGGGGGTAAACTTTTCGACAGCTTATTTTTCTGTTGATCTTTGACTGACATATCTCTTTTTTTTTTTGGGGGGGGGGGGTAATATCACAATGCTGGTGTAGACTGATACTGTTTCGTATTGTGTTGTGTTTCTGTAAACACTGGTCAAATTTATGTGAGTATGTCACGCCGATATGTCTGTGCCCCATGATGTAACTTGCTGCGTTGTGTTCATATCGATACGTCGGTACAGAGGGTTCAAAAGGTTAAAGAGCAGCAGACAGCATGATAGCATTTTGACAGGGATCAGTTCGTATTTGTTATAATCTCACTAACCTGACAGAACAAACCAGAGTAACCCGGCAGACAGTCACACTGGAAGGCCGCTCGCTTGTCGTGGCAGAGGGCGCCGTTGAGACACGGATTGCTGGAACATTCGTCGATCTCTTGCTCACAGAAGCGACCAGTAAAGCCAGGCAAACACGCGCAGTAGAAGTCATCCACAGTATCCTGGGGGCCGGAGAAGTAGGAGCAAGGATCAAATTGGGTGCGGGGAGTAAGAAAAGAAAAATGTCAGCTTAGTTTAACAATCAGAGAGAAAATCGTGGGTAAATTTTATTGAATTGAATTATCTTTGGACAAAAATAATATATTGAATCAAATGTCTCCAGAGTTCCCATATGATTTATTCCAAAGAGCCTAGGCTGATTGTCTACACGTACATCTATTCGAACTTAGAAATATAGTTCATTTGAAAACTGGGGGAGGAGGGGTGTGTGTACAATAAACAACTGAGAACAAGTTAGAAAAAGCCCTAAAACAATTATAAAGTAAACATATAAACGAAATAAAAAAGTTTGATTAAACCAGTTTCTAGAGTAGTTTCTTTGCTCTAAGATAAGATGGAAGTGCAATTGGCCATACAAAACAGGACAGAACATGTGGTTTATATCATGTCGTTGCAGCTTGCTTATCAAAACCTGCAGTTAATAACTTCCTGAGGGGGGGGGGGGGGCAATAGACTTCTCCATAATTGATGTCTCATCTTGTTGTATTTCATTTACGTTATCCCATCCTACCCCATCCTATTCCATCCCACTCCACCCCATCCCATCCCACCTCATTACACCCCACCTCACCTTACCCCACCCCATTCCATCACATCCCATCCCACCCCATCTCGAAGATTAGAAAGTTCCCAAAGGAAAGTCAAAACAACGCTTCTACCAGCAAACAGACTTACCATACAGAACGCCCCATTAGCGCAGACAACTTCTTCACAGTCATTGATATCTGAAACAAGAGACAAAGGTTCTCATTTACAGCGACGTGGATAACAAACAGAGACAAACATACTATAATTATATGAAATGTTTATATCACGTTAAAATAATATCAAAACACTATTCCTTGACACCGACAATTGAACTGTAAGTTCAGAAAAAGAAAGAAAGAAGAAAAAGAACAAAAGAAAGACTTTAAAAAGTAAGTCCAAAACTTAAAGAAAATATAACATGTCGTATCGAAATCACTCACTAACTATTATTCATATTTTATCATAGACGTAAGAAAATACTTTCACTAGAATGCTTTGTCACCTCAGCAAATCGATACCTTAGAATCACAAAGTTCTATCTGCTCAGTACCTATTTTTTGATAACTTTGACGTTAAAAATTTTACGTTTCACAATATATCAACCTTTTTCTAATCCAATTTTTAAAATAATATCTTGATAACGACTCAGAATAATCTTACGATTTTGATAGAGCAGATATACCATTTGATTTCTGACCTCATGACGGTCTTATAGTAACTCAAAACGGCCAACATTGTCACAAAGCACTTTGTAAATCTGAGGTAGAGAAATGACGATATACGGCACACCAGACAATACTCACTGACATCCCATTAGAATGCTTTGTCATCTCAACAAATGACGACATACGACACACCAGACAATACTCACTGACGTCACATTAGAAAGCTTTGTCATCTCAACAAATGACGACACATGGCACACCAGACAATACTCACTGACGTCACAGCGTTTCCCGGTCCAGCCGGGTTGGCAGTCACAGATGAATCCCCCACGCAAATTCCTACAGGCCAGGGCGTTCACACACGGACTCCCGTGGCACTCATCCGCGTCCAGCTGGCAGTGGGGGCCCTGGACCAAAGACAGGTCAAAGAAAGTGTGAATACGATGACAGATTGTAACATTTCCGTTTCAACCTTTCAAATCAATTTTGTATCTATCTGTGTGTGTGTGTGTGTGTGTGTGTGTGTGTGTGTGTGTTTGTGTGTGTGTGTGTTTGTGTGTGTCTGTCTGTCTGTCTCTCCTTTCTCTCTCTGTCTCTCTCTCTCTCTGTTTGTTTCTCTATCTATCTATCCATCTATCTATCTATTTTTATCTATCTATCTATCTATCTATCTATCTTTCTCTCTCTTTCTTCCCTCTTTCTCTCTATCCCATTTTTCCCTCTCGCTCTCAAATCCTCCAGGTCTTCCTTCCTTGGTCTCTCAATCCTCTCTTCCCCTCTCCCCATGAGTCTGCCATCTCATTTTGGCCCCACCCCTCTGCCCCACCACCTTTCTCTTTACCCCCCTTTCTCTCTTTCCTCACCCCTCAGTCTCCTCCTATCCCTTATCCCCCCCCTAATAAAGCATCTTAGCCACCAAAACTCTGGTTCTCACCTGCCAGCCCCTAGGACACTCGCAGTGGTAACCGTTGTCTTTATCCACACAAAGACCACCGTTCAGACACGGGTTGGACGTACACTCGTCAACATCTGAAAAAGAAGGGGAAAAGAAACGGATCTTCATTGACCGACATCTTTTCCAAGTGTACTTTTTCAAACCCTGGACATGTAATTAATCGGAGTTCCCTTGCTGCAAGCAAAGAGTGTACAATGTCTACAAAAGAAAAAAATACACGCAAATGTATAATAATATTAATATATATATATATGTTCAGAAAAGGGCTGGCTTAGTAAAATAATATTGGGAAGGAAAGAGGACAAAATGTTTTCGAACGTAGTAAAATATTATACATAATTATTATGTAGGCCCTACAGTTTAATTACATTCCAGGATTTGAAAAAGTAATTAATTTTAGGGCGAAAACATCGAACGAATGATAGGAAAGGAACAATAAAGATGATATTGTGAGAAACTAGCAAGAGGTTTAGCAAACAAAGATGTATTGCAGCATAACTCCCTTTTCAAGTCTGAGACGTCTCAGATATTTCCGATAGGATTGATGTAAGTTGATACTGAGCCGAATAGACATCCACTACCTGTAAATTGGTAGAAAATCCGAGCAACTTGTTAAATAAAACAAAAAAAAACCAATTATTAAACACAAAAAATAGTAACACATCAATGAATTTGATTGCTGATGTTCTTATGTCACCTATCAACACAATTTAGATAATTTAGGAAGCGGGCTTTCGACCCTGCTCCTCTGGGCCAACCTGGGATGAGAGGGATACAAGATCCCAGCAGAAAGACCGAGATACTCCATGAAAATAATCCCCACTCGAGAATTGAACTTGGGTCTCCTGCATGCAGCTGTGAAGCAACTAACACACACACACACACACACACACACACACACACAAACACACACACACACACACACACACACACACACACACGCACACAGACAGAGAGAGGGATACATACACACAGAGGCACTCACACAAGTATACCCACACACACACACACACACACACACACACACACACACACACACACACACATATATATATATATATATCCCCCCCCCCCCCCCACACACACACATAAATAACGAAAGCATGAAACGAAAACTGTGTTGGCGATTGGAACCATGTTGTCCGGCTACTGTGGGTGTGGGCACTCACCTATGTGGCACGTGTGGCCGGTCCAACCAGCGGCACAGTTACACACGAAGCCGCTCATGACGTCAACGCACGAGCCTCCGTTCTTGCACGGCTGGGAGGAGCACGCATGCTGGGCTGAAACCACAACCGTTATTTGTTTATTTACTTGGCTTTTTTCTTAAAGAAAAACATATTTTAAAAAAAATTCAATCCGACTTCCCCAGAAAGAAATACAAAAATAAAAACCAACAACAAAAATAAAAAAATAAAAAAAGAATTATTCTATCGGTATTGTATGAACAAAAACTACAGTTCTGAGGTACCAAAAAGAAAAAAACAACAACACACAAGTTGGTCGATAGCTTTAATGATTGACCTTGTATACAATTGTGTTTTAAAGAAACAAGCAAATGTATCAAATGAAGAGCACGCTAAGAGTATCATAGTTTTTGTATGCATCTTATTATGCTGTTTCTACACTCTTGGGCAAAGCAGTGATTAAGAACAAGACGGATACTCAAACATTGCACTTGTATTCAGAAACAAAAGAGTAGTGAGAAGTCAGCACTGCTTCCCTACGCTTATAAATGAATAATAAATAAATATGTAAATAAACAGATAGATAAATAAATACACTGCCTGTAGTGAAAACATGGGTACTATGTCCTGGTGATGTATCCTTTATCTTAACAAGCACGCAAAGTACACGCCAATGTATTCAACCTTTGTTTGGGAGACCAATAAACATAACATTTTGTTTTTCCTTTATTATAATCATAAATAGTAGATTATTCTACTCTGTATTTTCTGAGTGGTCATGAATGGGGTAGTGAATAAATAATTAAACCCTTACCCTACTTAATATCAATTTGGGCTCTCTGTTCTTTGAGTAATGATAACTTAGTATGTTGTAAAGAATCTGATATTAAGAAATATCTAACTTCAAAGTTTTTGAAGAGAAGACGATCTGAAGAATTTCTATCGTCAATTGATTTAATTCTGGACGATGTTCTCTCTTTTTAGAAATAAATGTGGAGGCACATAACCTGGATAATGAAATTGTTACCCACATATGAAATTATATCGTTCGCTATTTTCCCCTTGAGCTGTTCATAAAAACTAATGACAATTACTCACCAATCTCACAGTTCTTCCCAGAGAAGCCCAGAGGACAGGAGCACTCATAATTATCTGGTGCCGTGTTCCTGCATAGACCATTGTTTTTGCACGGGTGATGACGTCCACAATAGTTCAAGTCTGTGGGTTGGATTTAGAAACAGAAAATCAACAAAAAGTGGATGGTTAAGTGTTGGCATGTTGAATGGCGAGTCTGCATGTC